CCTTCCCCCTCCGGGCAGGCTTGGTGGCGCGGATCAACACAAGTCCATTTGCTTTTCTGCTCCAAGCGGCTGGTTCTCTGTGCTAAGTCCTTGTGCCTCCGGGGCCGTGGCCGTGCCGGAGAGCCGCTCGTGGGGGGCAGCTGGCGACCTCGGTGGGGCGTGGGGGACGGCCCACAAAGCCCCCCTTCCCATGAGGTCCCCGCCGCTTCCCCGAGCCCGGCTCAAACCCGCTTTCCACAAGGCTCCCGTGCGGCCGCCATCTTTCTTTCCAGAGAGGAGCGGGCGGGCCGGTCAACGCCCTTCCCCCTCCGGGCAGGCTTGGTGGCGCGGATCAACACAAGTCCATTTGCTTTTCTGCTCCAAGCGGCTGGTTCTCTGTGCTAAGTCCTTGTGCCTCCGGGGCCGTGGCCGTGCCGGAGAGCCGCTCGTGGGGGGCAGCTGGCGACCTCGGTGGGGCGTGGGGGACGGCCCACAAAGCCCCCCTTCCCATGAGGTCCCCGCCGCTTCCCCGAGCCCGGCTCAAACCCGCTTTCCACAAGGCTCCCGTGCGGCCGCCATCTTTCTTTCCAGAGAGGAGCGGGCGGGCCGGTCAACGCCCTTCCCCCTCCGGGCAGGCTTGGTGGCGCGGATCAACACAAGTCCATTTGCTTTTCTGCTCCAAGCGGCTGGTTCTCTGTGCTAAGTCCTTGTGCCTCCGGGGCCGTGGCCGTGCCGGAGAGCCGCTCGTGGGGGGCAGCTGGCGACCTCGGTGGGGCGTGGGGGACGGCCCACAAAGCCCCCCTTCCCATGAGGTCCCCGCCGCTTCCCCGAGCCCGGCTCAAACCCGCTTTCCACAAGGCTCCCGTGCGGCCGCCATCTTTCTTTCCAGAGAGGAGCGGGCGGGCCGGTCAACGCCCTTCCCCCTCCGGGCAGGCTTGGTGGCGCGGATCAACACAAGTCCATTTGCTTTTCTGCTCCAAGCGGCTGGTTCTCTGTGCTAAGTCCTTGTGCCTCCGGGGCCGTGGCCGTGCCGGAGAGCCGCTCGTGGGGGGCAGCTGGCGACCTCGGTGGGGCGTGGGGGACGGCCCACAAAGCCCCCCTTCCCATGAGGTCCCCGCCGCTTCCCCGAGCCCGGCTCAAACCCGCTTTCCACAAGGCTCCCGTGCAGCCGCCATCTTTCTTTCCAGAGAGGAGCAGGCGGGCCGGTCAACGCCCTTCCCCCTCCGGGCAGGCTTTGTGGCGCGGATCAACACAAGTCCATTTGCTTTTCTGCTCCAAGCGGCTGGTTCTCTGTGCTAAGTCCTTGTGCCTCCGGGGCCGTGGTCGTGCCGGAGAGCCGCTCGTGGGGGGCAGCTGGCGACCCTGGTGGGGCGTGGGGGACGGCCCACAAAGCCCCCCTTCCCATGAGGTCCCCGCCGCTTCCCCGAGCCCGGCTCAAACCCGCTTTCCACAAGGCTCCCGTGCGGCCGCCATCTTTCTTTCCAGAGAGGAGCGGGCGGGCCGGTCAACGCCCTTCCCCCTCCGGGCCGGCTTGGTGGCGCGGATCAACACAAGTCCATTTGCTTTTCTGCTCCAAGCGGCTGGTTCTCTGTGCTAAGTCCTTGTGCCTCCGGGGCCGTGGCCGTGCCGGAGAGCCGCTCGTGGGGGGCAGCTGGCGACCTCGGTGGGGCGTGGGGGACGGCCCACAAAGCCCCCCTTCCCATGAGGTCCCCGCCGCTTCCCCGAGCCCGGCTCAAACCCGCTTTCCACAAGGCTCCCGTGCGGCCGCCATCTTTCTTTCCAGAGAGGAGCGGGCGGGCCGGTCAACGCCCTTCCCCCTCCGGGCAGGCTTGGTGGCGCGGATCAACACAAGTCCATTTGCTTTTCTGCTCCAAGCGGCTGGTTCTCTGTGCTAAGTCCTTGTGCCTCCGGGGCCGTGGCCGTGCCGGAGAGCCGCTCATGGGGGGCAGCTGGCGACCTCGGTGGGGCGTGGGGGACGGCCCACAAAGCCCCCCTTCCCATGAGGTCCCCGCCACTTCCCCGAGCCCGGCTCAAACCCGCTTTCCACAAGGCTCCCGTGCGGCCGCCATCTTTCTTTCCAGAGAGGAGCGGGCGGGCCGGTCAACGCCCTTCCCCCTCTGGGCAGGCTTGGTGGCACGGATCAACACAAGTCCATTTGCTTTTCTGCTCCAAGCGGCTGGTTCTCTGTGCTAAGTCCTTGTGCCTCCGGGGCCGTGGCCGTGCCGGAGAGCCGCTCGTGGGGGGCAGCTGGCGACCTCGGTGGGGCGTGGGGGACGGCCCACAAAGCCCCCCTTCCCATGAGGTCCCCGCCGCTTCCCCGAGCCCGGCTCAAACCCGCTTTCCACAAGGCTCCCGTGCGGCCGCCATCTTTCTTTCCAGAGAGGAGAGGGCGGGCCGGTCAACGCCCTTCCCCCTCCGGGCAGGCTTGGTGGCGCGGATCAACACAAGTCCATTTGCTTTTCTGCTCCAAGCGGCTGGTTCTCTGTGCTAAGTCCTTGTGCCTCCGGGGCCGTGGCCGTGCCGGAGAGCCGCTCGTGGGGGGCAGCTGGCGACCTCGGTGGGGCGTGGGGGACGGCCCACAAAGCCCCCCTTCCCATGAGGTCCCCGCCGCTTCCCCGAGCCCGGCTCAAACCCGCTTTCCACAAGGCTCCCGTGCGGCCGCCATCTTTCTTTCCAGAGAGGAGCGGGCGGGCCGGTCAACGCCCTTCCCCCTCCGGGCAGGCTTGGTGGCGCGGATCAACACAAGTCCATTTGCTTTTCTGCTCCAAGCGGCTGGTTCTCTGTGCTAAGTCCTTGTGCCTCCGGGGCCGTGGCCGTGCCGGAGAGCCGCTCGTGGGGGGCAGCTGGCGACCTCGGTGGGGCGTGGGGGACGGCCCACAAAGCCCCCCTTCCCATGAGGTCCCCGCCGCTTCCCCGAGCCCGGCTCAAACCCGCTTTCCACAAGGCTCCCGTGCGGCCGCCATCTTTCTTTCCAGAGAGGAGCGGGCGGGCCGGTCAACGCCCTTCCCCCTCCGGGCAGGCTTGGTGGCGCGGATCAACACAAGTCCATTTGCTTTTCTGCTCCAAGCGGCTGGTTCTCTGTGCTAAGTCCTTGTGCCTCCGGGGCCGTGGCCGTGCCGGAGAGCCGCTTGTGGGGGGCAACTGGCGACCTCGGTGGGGCGTGGGGGACGGCCCACAAAGCCCCCCTTCCCATGAGGTCCCCGCCGCTTCCCCGAGCCCGGCTCAAACCCGCTTTCCACAAGGCTCCCGTGCGGCCGCCATCTTTCTTTCCAGAGAGGAGCGGCTATTTCTCATTTTTATTTATTTATTTATTTATATTTTAAAAGCAGCCATGTTTATTGGTGCTAGAATATGTGGGTGCCAGTCTCAGCAATGCTCAGCTCCAAGATGAGGGCCTGATGGATGACTCAATAGTTGAGCTTGGCTTGTAGGTGCTGGGGTTCATGCAGTTCTAGGACTTCAACTCAGGGCAGTGTTCTAGTGCAGACACTAAATATGTGTTGGCCACTTTGAGCCATACCCCTGTTTCTCTGGTTTCTCTTCTTTGATCAATGGGATGTAAGACCATCTTTGAACTTTCAATCTGATGCAGTCCCAATAATTGCTTTTGAGAAGTTATGGTCTTTCCACGGGGTGGAGCAACAGCACAGCGGGTAGGGCATTTGCCTTGCACACAGCCGACATGGTCAACCCGAGTTCTATTCCTCCACCCCTCTTGGAGAGCCTGGCAAGATACCAAGAGTATCTTGCCAACACGGCAAAACCTGGCAGGCTCCCCGTGGTGTGTTTGATATGCCAAACACAGTAACAAGTCTCACAATGTTACTGGGCCCACTCGAGCAAATCGATGAGCAACAGAAGACAGTGACGGTGACGGGTCTTTCCATTTTTCTATCTTTTCTTCTTTGGGCTATATAGTTCTCACTCTCAAATAATAGACAGCATATTAAGAACCTTTTTTAAAAAATTCTTTTTCTCTTGCTCAAAAGGAAGATTCTTGGCATTTGGTACAATGTTGTGCTCTTTTGCAGTACTTCGTTCGCCTTTATTCTGTCTACAATAGAAGTTAGCATATTATTTTCTATAAAAAGTCATCCAGGAACATAACTTAGGAAAATACTTTACTTAGATATTATGAAGGAAGTCACTCATGAAAAGCCACATATCACAGGAATGTATAGGAAAAGAGAGAGGAAAGATCATGGAAAGGAGAAACTGAAGAAACTGGTACCAGTAAAGGCAGGAAGTTTTGTTATTGGAAATTCTGAAGTAGCATACAGCGAAGAAGAAACTCTGGGATGTCTGTTATGACTTTTAAGAAATATCATAGCATAGCAGGTCACAGGCCTTGAAGCTTAAAAACTGAGGGGTAGGGGAATTATTTTCCAGCAAAGTAGAAAAGAAAAGAGAGACATTTTCCTCAAGGAGTGATTGTTAATGACATAGTAACAAAAGTATATATCCAAACCTGCTTGAGTACCTTTAAAGTTTGCCTGAATTTGTATATACTTAAAATATTTTTGCATTTGTTATGTGTTTATGTGTTACAATTTAACAAGTGTTTAAAAGCAAAAAAAAGTCAGATAAAAGTATTTTATGCATGTGAGTCTTATGATCTCTGTTGCAAATACTAAATTGTGTCACTGTTGTATAAATAGTCATTAAAAATCTCAATTAAAAAGAGCATGATACATACAAACATATAGACTATAGATGTATGTTGTTTATATGAACAGATACAAGATAGGTAGATTATAGATATTTTACCCTTGTAATTTAATACTATTAAATTCAAGCTAGTTTGTGGGTTTTCTTACTTAGAATATTGAAAAGGACACTAGTTATAGCAACTTATCTCAGTTTACAAATGATTTTTAAATCATTTATATTTAATAAACATAAATTTATTTCGTGTAGATAACAGAGGAGGGAGACAAGAACTTTCTTATCAATTAACAAATATAATAACAATATAACCACCAACAAACACAATCATAGAGACTTGCTGTCTTCATTTTCAGGACCAGTGTGCTGAGTATCGTGAAAGCATGAAAGATGGGAAGCTTAGCTGTACTCGGGAGAGTGACCCTGTACGTGATGCTAATGGCAAATCATATAACAATAAGTGTGCCATGTGCAAAGAACTCCTGTAAGTACTTTCTCACCAGGTATTTATAGGAGATAGACTTATTGCTATTCAATTTTTTCATTCATAAAATTTCTTTTAATTCCAAAAATTACCTTTATTTTGTTTCCTGCAAGGAACAAGGAGCCCTAACAAGGAGTGCTAATCAAATAAATAATTTCTACTTTATTTTCCCTCAAAATTCTTTGAGCTTTAAATGTCTTCCAGATATGTAATTGCTCTTTATACTTCATCATACTTAGTTTCGGAGGGCACTTTGTGATGGGAACATGGTGTGGTTGCTTATCACACAGTTCAAAAGAACTGTTTCTTACGTGGATGGTACATTTCAAAGAGTGTTCCTTTGTGATTGGTGCTGAACTGGAATGATTTATGACCCAGCTCAGTTGCATATTGTCTGAAGTAGCATAACCATTGTTATTCCCATTTGTATATTGAGAAGCATTTTTTAGGTGACTTCGATTAATACTCACAGCTATAACATTTGGTGCATATATCACAATGATCTTATTGATGCCATTTAATTGGCAGACAACAAATAAACATTTAATGCTGCTCCACACATATATGTTCTTCGCTTTTCTTCCTGAAAAACAAAACAAAAACCACATTACAAATCTTATGGAAGTATAGACCACGTGAAAAATATAACTAGTTTAAATGCTTCAATTTACAGCTGAGATAAAGCAGATATGCTCTCTCATGGAATAGATTTCAGAGCAAAAACTAGAGCCTGCTTCTCTGAATAATGTAGAATAAAGATATTATTTATTTATTATTCTACATAGTAATGTAGAATAACATATTTATTCTACATTATTAAAATTGTATAATAGAAGTAAGATGACAGAATGGGGTTGGTGTATATATGTGTATGTACATATACATATATATGTGTGTATGTATGTGTGTATGTGTATCAGGATACTACTCAGATATAAGAAAAGACAGAATAGTGCAGTTTGCTGCCTTCATAGAATTTTGTGCTGTGTGAAGTTAGAAGAGGAGGACAGATGAGCTCTCTCATACATGGGATATAGAGGCATAATAATGAAATAAAAAATGCCCAAAGTCAGCAGAATCTGAGAACTGTTTTACAGAGCTGAACTTGGTCTGAGGGGAGGATGGGGAGAAGTGAGAAGGGACTGGGATCAAGGTCAGGGAGGTAAGTGGGTCCTCTTTTGATTGGGTGGTGCTGGAACACTGTATCCATAAAAACTTCCCAGGAACAAGTACTATAAATCAGGGCATTAAAATAAAAATGTTAAAGTATGTATCTGAGGGATTCAATATAGAAAAGAAAATGAACTCTGCATACTTGTTCTGTGTTGTCTTGAGAATGTGAACTAAAACTAAAGAATGAAAGTTATAGGAAGAAAAATTTGGTCACAAATAAAGGAAACTATAATTCCTTGAATTGATCTAACTGGAATAGCTACCTTATAAGTTATAAGTTACTTCTTCCTAACAGTTAACTGTCCACCTTGGAGAAGTGATGAGAGTTCTATATGAAGGAGATAATTTAAAATACGTAAACCCTAAAGTTTTTTCCAAGCCTCAAAGTGTTTCACCTAGATGATTCCCAACCTTCTCTTCCAGACAAAGAGAAGCAAATGAAAAGGATAAACATTCTAGTAACAGATCAAATGGGACTGACTCATCGTCAGGAAAGGTGAGTCATTAACTAGGTTTCAGCAGGTACGGCCTTTCTGTAACTGAATACTTGATCAATTAAAATAGGTAAAGAATGTCTCGGTTTGATTAAACATGATTTTTTTCTCACAAGGTCAGAAACCTCAGAAACCATCATTAGAATGATTAACACTGCTGGTATTTTGATCCATGTAGAAATTTAATGCTAGGCAGAAATTGCCCACTTTACAAAGCACTCATGAATAGTTTCTTATTGAAATCTCTCTGGTGAATTAGGGTAAATAGATTTTTTAAATTTTACTTTATAGATAGGTAAAATGAGGTTTAGCATTTTTTTGGGGGGGGGGTCACACCTGGCTATGCACAGGGGTTGCTCCTGGCTCTGCACTCAGGAGTTACTCCTGGCGGTGCTCAGGGGACCATATGGGATGCTGGGAATCAAACCCAGGTAGGCCATGTGCAAGGCAAACGCCCTACCCACTGTGCGATATCTCCAGCCCCGGTTTAGCATCTTTAAGAGATTTCTGTCAATAATGGTTAAAAAACAACACACATATTGAAGAGAAGTCCTGAATTTTTGCTAAGAATGTCAGAAGGAAGAATATTATTTGTAGAAGACATAGAACGGGATGCATTTTTTTTTTTGGTCTTGTCTAACAGCCACAGGTTACCTTCTTTCCTTGCTTGCCTCATGGTCATCTTTAAAATTGGCAATGGGATGGGGGACTCAGCTCAAGTGGTAGAGTACATGACTAGCATGTGTAAGGCTGTGAGTTCAATTCCTGGCACCAATGGCCTCCATAGCATTGCTGGTTATGGTCTCTATAAATAAAAATAAGTAAATAAAATTAGCAATGGTTTATTGAATTTTTTCCATGATGTCTTATTTTGATACTTACTCATTTGCTTTTCTATTTCATTCATAGAATGAACCACCCAGATAACCCAGATTACATATACCACCCAGAAAACCCAGATTAATCTCTCTATTAAAAAGCTCCATGATCAGTGATCTTAAATACATCTTCAACTTTAATTCCTCCTTCTTATCAGGCAGCATATTAAAAAAAAACTGAGAATTAGAACCTGAAAAGTTTTACTAACTCCGACAATGAGATTATTTGAGTCAAAATGTTCATATTTTCAAGCCCAATTAAAGATCTGTGGAAACGATCATTTTTCAAGGTATTTTACCTCCTTTTTTAGGATGAATGTGATGAATTTAGGAGTCAAATGAAAAATGGACAACTTATCTGTACCCGAGAAAGTGACCCTGTCCGCGGTCCGAATGGCAAGACACATGGCAATAAATGTGCCATGTGTAAGGAAAAACTGTGAGTACTTTTTTAAAAATGGGCTTTTCATTCTGAGTATTAAAGTTGAATATTAAATGCTCATCAATTTGAGAAAGTTACATTTTTTTAAAAAGCACTCTGTAATTAGTAATTTGTTTAGTTTAACTGAAACTTCTCTTCATCTTTTATTCCAGGGAAAGAGAAGCAGCTGAGAAAAAAAAGAAAGAGGATGACACGAGAAACAGAGGAAACAATGTAATATATGTTGAACATGCTAATATTTTGGAAGATTTGTTATATTTAATTCATTCACCAAATGTTTACAGAATTCCTATTTTGTTCAGCCATTTTGAATATTATAGTTAACAAGAAAGACATGGCCAGACCTTGCAGAGAAACCACATTTTATTCAATGTGATAAGAGCAAGTGTGATGCACACTTATTGTTGGTATAGACTGAAGCTTATTTTAATCATTGTTGAATACTATTGGTGGTGCTCAAAATTTACTCCCTACCTGATCTGTTAGGGTCACTCATAGTAGTGCTCAGGAAATCATGCAGTTTGGGGGGGTCAAACCTGGCTTCTCACACACAAAGAATGTACTCAGCCATGGAGTTATGTCTCTGGACCTCATTTTTTTTTCTTTTTTTATTAGTGAAACACCATGAGGTACAGTTATAGGCTTACAAATTTTGTGCTTGGGTTTCAGTTATACAATGATCAAGTGCCCATGCCTCCACCAGTGCCCGTCATCCATCACCACGGGTCCCAGCATCCCCCTCACCCCCCATCATTTTTAAAGTTAAAAAAATAACACATATATTCAAAATCCAAACTTGAAAGCAAGTATGAAAATATTGGGGCTCCAGGCTCTTGGCATTTCACTATCATTTTGTATTTGTCTTTGAACTTTTTGAAATAATGTTACTGTTTAACAGCACACAGGCTGACAAAGCATAATCTTTTCTAACCTTCTATTGACTCCAATAAGTGAGACAGTGGGATTTTGCTAAGGTTGTCCCATTAATGTCCCATTAATGAATTCTATACTAAAACACATAAAAACTAAATATTGATGGTAATTGTAATTTAAAAAAACTTGTTTGAACTTTTTTTGTGTGGATAAATAGCTTTAAGAAAATATGTTTACAAGTTCAAATGGTTTATGTTGCTTATCTACTTTATTTTCAATATTTATTAATTCTCCTTCCAGAAATTCTTATTTTAGGAACAAATTGGCATTTTTGTGTTCTTTGTGTAGTATACAATATATCACCATGTTTCATGCATGGCAAGAAGAATGTTACAATATTATTTATGCCCAGTAAAAATGTTTTTAATGTGTATGTATCATCATCATTGCACTCTCAAATTTGTGCAGTGTTTGATATTGTTCCAGTTTTACAGTTAAGAAAAACTCAATTTAGGGGGCTGGAGTGATAGCACAGCGGGTAGGGCATTTGTCTTGCACGTGGCTGACCCGGGTTCGATTCCCAGCATCCCAGATGGTCCCCAGAGCACTGCCAGGAGTAATTCCTGAGTGCATAAGCCAGAAGTAAACACTGTGCATTGCTGGGTAAAAATCAAGGAAAAAGAAAAAAGAAAAACTAGATTTAGCTATACACAGATACAAATGAAGAGCTAGAGATTGCATTCAGAAAGCAAAAGTTTGCAGTCAATGGATAATATCACGAACATATATGGGCTTGGTATTTGAGGCTTCAGAGAAAGAAATAATTGCAGTAAATTCTGAAAATAAGGTTGTAAAATACTTAATATGCTGCCCAGATATTTAGTTTCAAAGAACTTTAACTTTAAAAATTCTTCAGGTCTTAAGTAGCTCTGGTGCTGCTTATATTTTAAAATATAGAGAACACTCCTAGTATCTAGAAATGTTTTTTAATACAATGTTCCCATTATTTCTACTTTAGCTTTTTGGGCTTAGAGAAAGTTTAGGATAAATGTCTGCATATATCTCATATTTTCACTGATTGAAGATCTGACAGATTTGATTTCACTGCCTTATTTTCATGTTTCTTATTTTTCAGTGAATGAAAAAAATTGTCATTCTTATTTTTTCTTATCAATAGTGTTTATTTTATAGGCTCTTTACCATGACTTAAGGAAATTAATTTAGAGCATGCAACAAAGTGTGCATGTAAGACATATGAAAAATATTATTTATTAAGAAACAAAGGTAAATGCTTGTATGTTTGCAGTTCTTGTTGAATTTGAAATTTTTTATGCATGCAGTAATGAAAAGTCACTGGGAGTCAAGGGTCAGTCAAATAGAAAGTTGTATTAGAATCTCATGTATTAAAATCTAATTAAATTCTGATGGGACAAGAAATTCTGATGAGGAAAGAAATTACTTGAGAGGGATACTGTAGAGATGAATTCAACTTCTAGAGCAAAGATAGAATAAAAGGCTCATAAAACTCATTCAGAGTCTAAGAGACATAGCTCAGTGGTAGAGTATTTATTTGTCCTTCATGTATGAGGCCCTGAGTTTAATTTCTCACACTGCATGGTTCCCTGAACAGTACCAGCAGCAACGCCCAAGTTATAGCTGGCCTCATCGCCCCTCACTACCAAAAAATTTTTAAAAAGATTGAAAACATATTCTATTGCTGAAACTTTACCTATTTTCACTACTTCCCCTTCAAGTGTTAAATTTAAGCCTCAGCAACAAGTTCTATGTAAGTTTCTCAAACCGTATTGCCATTGTCAAATTTTTGCTTTTTCTTTGAAAACAGGATCAGTGTCATGAATTCCGGAGCCAAGTGAGGGATGGAAGACTTATCTGCACCAGAGAAAATGACCCTGTTCGAGGTCCATATGGAAAGATGCATGTTAACAAATGTGCCATGTGTCAGAGCATTTTGTACGTGAAAAAGTTTACTAATAAGTTTGATATTTATACACGTTTGCCAGAAAATATTCCCTCTTAATCTAATAATTAGGTATCAAGTGCTAAAGATATAGTATATATGGTTTATAGCTCTGCATTTTAGAAGATCACTGTAAGTTTTTAAGACACTCTCCTAAGAAATGTTTGTTTTGGTGATATAATTATAATCATACCTGGAGCATCTGGAGTAGAAGAGCTATTTTGTGGGGACCAATCAATCATAGACTCTTAGAGATAGATTTATCAGCAGTATTCAGGGCCAGCCCAGTTCATTTTGCAATTCCCCCGTCAACAATTTAAGGGGAAAGATGACTGTGCAATAATATTTTGGTTGGGATTCCTCTCTATAGTTTTTAAATCTTTGTAAGCTAGAGACCTATAACTTAATCAGTGATGGAGAACTTAGTGGTCCATTAATTAAAAAAAAAGGAAGGAAGGGAAGGTAAAACAACTCTATAGATGAGAATCATAAACTTCATAAACTTCTATTAAGAATCCTAAATTCTGAATGATATTGAAATTGAATGCTTGAAAGTTGATAAATTGCCATAAATATTTTATGAAAATTCTCACAATAAAACAGGGAAAATAATGTATTTTTAGATAAACAAAGTTAGATTTGCTAATGCTGAAAATTTAAAAAATGCTTGATTCGAGGCTCAATAATATCTGAGAAATTATACTATCGACATTTATTTTGCAGTGAGCGAGAAGCCAGTGAAAGAAAACAGAATGATGAAGAAAAACAAAGAGCCAAACCAACAAATGATGCAAAGGTTATATCTTTTTTTTTTTTTTGCAAAGGTCTTAAAGTTGTCAGAATAATTGTGTTACTTCTCATCCTAAGTGTTTTTCCTTCTCCTTTAGATTTTGGACAGTAAATATGATAAATTTTTATTTAAAAAACTGATTTGAGAAAAATTTTCCCTCAGAGTTATGATTTTTCTAGCTTTCATATTTTATTTCATTTTATTTTGGTTTTGGAACCCTACCTGGTGGACTCAGATCTTACACCTCACTGGACTCAGATTAGCTCCTGGCATGGCTTGGGGGACCTTATGTAGTGCCAGAGATGAAGTCTGGGTCCCTTACAAGAAAGGCAAGGACCTTTCACACTGTTCTATCTCTCTAGTCCCTCACTTTTTTCTTTACTCTATAGAGAATTATCCTACAGTGTGTCAATTATTGATTTAGTTTCTCCTCTTTGGGAAAAACGTAGGTTGAAGATCAGAGGATAAAGTTCCTTACCAACTCATCTGCCTGTTTATCTCTGTAACTTTTAATTGTGAGATGAAACTTCAAATAGCGTGTTGACACTGAATTTACTCAGTTGATTTAAACCAGCTCAAAGTCTTCACTTCTCTCCTTGAGTTTTCTTTTTTGGTGTGTGTTTTGGGGGTGGGGGGAAGGTAACTCCCCAGTAGTGATCTGGAAGTACAGGGATTCCACTGGAGATTCTCAGTCAACCTGTCTAGCGGTTCAGTTAAAGGACCCAAGGATGATCAAATAATGCTGGTTGCACCCTATGATGCTGGAGGTCTTCAGGGGTTGCATCTGGTAATAGCTGAGGAATCCTGGGGTGCTAGAAATCTAACCACGTCTGGTGCATGCCTATGTGTCCTAATCACTGTGCTATATCCTGGTCTCTTGATATCATGTTTCTGTCTTCAAATAGTGTTCTCAATGTCAGTAAATCAGTAGTGTATATGCATGATGCTACCTTTTCTCTTTGCTTTTGAAAGCTGCCAAGATGTTTTTGTTCAATTTTATGAGAATGATCATATGACTTGTAGTTAGGTTCCTATAAGATTGTCCAAAGTATACTTTCTGTGGAAAAATCGGGGGTGGGGCTGTGGTGAAGAAAGATGGAAAGGAAGAGTGAGACTATACCATGTGTTGTTTGTTCCCTACATTTCTCGGCCCAGCGCAGAGAGGCTCAGAGCCAAGCAGGAGATGGGCGTGTTAGCTTGCATCTTCACTGGCCTTCAATGCCAGGATAAGGCCAATGAGTGTGAGCCCAGAATCCAAGAGAAGACTTCCTAAAACCAAATGTGGGAATGCCACCAAGCCAAGAAGGGAAAACCATGCTCACTTCTCCTTTCTCATTTTCCAGGATGAATGCAGTAACTTTCAGGCGTACTTGAGGAATGATCAACTCTTGTGCACTAGAGAAAATGACCCTGTACGTGGTGCTGATGGAAAGATATACAAAAACAGGTGCTACATGTGCAGAAATATCTTGTGAGTAAAAGTATTTCATTCATGTTTAAGCAAGAGCATTAAATATGGCCTACATTTGGGAAATAATCACCATTTATAAAGTAAAATTTAATTATGAAAAATTATGAAAGTTTTATGTGTGCATCGCTATGATTCATGTTACTTATCTGCTATCCTAGTCCCCCCCACAAAAAGTCTAATTATGTCTTTCACTATAGATAAAAATGACTCCTTTTGCCTGATTTTCAGGTAATATTGATTTATAACTCCTTATAAATTCTGATAAGTGCTATGGCAAAAATAAAGGTTCTAGACACTTCCCCCAAGAAAGAACATTAGAAAAGTGGTGACATTTTAACAGTACCTGCTATTCTGTTAGTAATATTTTAATGATGTTGGAGCTGGAACGATAGCACAGCGGGAAGGGCGTTTGCCGTGCATGAGGCCAACTCTGGTTTGATTCCCAGCATCCCGTATGGTCCCCCGAACACTTCCAGGAGTAATTCCCAAGTGAATGAGCCAGAAGTAACCCCTGTGCATTGCTGGGTGTGACCCAAAAGGCAAAAAAAAAAAACCCTAAAAAACAAACAAACAAAACAACAACAAAAGAAACAATGTTAACTTGTCTGTTCATGATCATTGTACTAGTGTCTATATAACATTAACAGGAGAAGTGGAGTAACAGAAACAGATATAGAGGAACCTTTGCACTGATTTTACAACTTAGAAAATAACAGTATCTTGTTTAACTAAGGTAGGTAGTATGGCTAGAGGAGACAGCATTTTAGAACATTGATTTGATTTAATCAGCAATTTCAACTGCTGGTTAAATAAATGTGTGTTCATGAATCCATGGTGTGCTTAAGTTAGGCCTCAGAGCCCTTAAATCGAAGATGCATGATACAGTGGAGGACATGCTTAGATTTGGAGACAACAAATTCAGATATAAGTTCTAATTGTTGTATTGGCCAGCTGAACCTCTCAATTTTTTTCTTGCCAACTCTCAGCATCACATTTATAAGAAAGTGTTCTAGAATAGGACTTCTTAAACCTTTTACTTGCAACTGCTTTTCACCCAGGAAATACAACATGGGCACGTGCTGACAGAAAAACCTTGGATTCATTACTTATTAGGTTTTGGTTTCTTTTTTGTTAATTGCACATTTAGAAAGCTTTAACAGTTGCAAAATTCTTCTCACCCTCGCTTTCAGTTATAGGGTTGTGACTCACAGCAGTTCTAGATTTTTTTTTAGATTTTTCCCCCTACATTATATATAAAGGACTTTTGTTGGGGGAATAGTTTTTGTGCCCCTCAAAATTTTAATCAGGTATCTCCAGGGCTTAGGAACATGCTTTAAAATAGGGTTTTTGGTTATTTATATGAACAAGGAGACACAGGATGAATTTCTTCATATTTGTATCAAACTCCCAGCTGGAAATTATAGGAGCTAGTCTTTGTGAAGATAACTTGGAATTACTTTTTGTCTCCTTCACTAGCCAAAAGGCCAGAGAAAAGGCAGCCTATGTTAGATCTTCTGAAGAGAAAGGCAGCACAGAGCACCCCAGATCTTCTCTGGTAAGAATGGCAATTTTTTTTTTCTTTTGCAAGAAGGTGGGGTAAGGGAAAGAGAAGGGGAAGGTGTTTGAGCCACACTCAGGGTGATACTCAAGCTTCTGGCTCTGTGCTCAGAGTGATCCTGGTGGTGTTTGGGGGACCATGTAGTGTTGCTTGCAAGGTAAGATTGTACCTACTGAACTATCTGGACAAAGAATGACTGTTTCTGGGGCTGGAGTGATAGCATAGTGGTAGGGCATTTGCTTTGCACGCGGCCAACTCAGGTTCAATTCCCAGCATTCCATATGGTCCCCTGAGCATCACCAGGAGTAATTCCTGAGTGCATGAGCCAGGGGTAATCCTTGTGTATTGCCGGTGTGACCAAAAAGAAAAAAAAAAGAATGACTGTTTCTTTAAAAACTACAAATTAACTTCATTTGTCAAATTTTGGAAAATTTCTATTGTCACTTGCCCATCACAAACCTAATTTCCATATATGCAAAGGACTACTCAATATAGCTTCAGATCTTTTGAGAAGTAGATATAATTCATGCTTAACGAATTCTAACATAACTCACCGTTGGGTTATGATGATGATGGTGATGATGATACTTATTATTGTTATTCATTCTTTTTTGAGATTAGTAGTCACTTAGAATATTCAAAATTTAGAAAAAACAACAGGAGTATAATAAATGTGAAGTCAAAATAAAATCTTTGATCCTCTAATTTCAGTTCTCCAAAAAGATTCCATTCATATCCATCTTCCTCTCATCCCCTGCTCCATAAGCCAAATCTATTCCCCAGTAGCCTGTAAAACTATGCTGATCTGCTCACACTTGTGGAATTTCAGCAATCTGCACTCTATAGTAGTTAAACTTAAATTTTTGTTTTATTTTGTTTTAAAGCCAGACCCAGTTGTGCTCAGGATTTACTCCAGGCTCTATGCTCAGGTATCACTCCTGGCACTGCTCATGGGACTACATGTGGTTCCAGGAATTCAACTCAACTTGGTTGTATGCAAGAAAAGAACCTTACCTGCTGTACTGTTGCTCTGGCCCCTAAAACTTTTTATTGAAAAATTAGGCTGGAGAATCAGAGAAAATACAAATATTAAGGCACTTGACTTGCATGCAGCTGGCTCTGGTTTGATCCTTGTACTGAGTATGGGTCCATCATCACTGTTAGGAGTGATCCCAGAGCACTGCCAGAGGTGGTCTACAGAACAATTTACATAAATACAATATAGTTCATAATCAGCAGAGATTTTTGTTTTATAGTAACAGCCTAGTCAGATGGCCCTTTTAAAATCTTGAGAAGATCAAGAGTAAAAAAGAAGAAAGAGATACCGAGAGCATGAAATATGTTCAAAGTAGACTTTTGGACTTTGTCCAAGAGAAACTAAAAGAAGAACTAGCTCCTAATCAGAAAAAAGAAATAAAGGTATCAAACATGAATTTTATTTAATTATTTTTCCAATTCATGTGGATAACAGATGAGTTGCTCTAATGAAATATATAATAATTACATATCTGTAGTAAATTAGGCACTAAACTAGGAATCTCTGAACATGCAGATGAGCTCATATGAAGTTATTTTCTACCCCTTTCACAGCATAATTGACAAATTATAATTGACAAATAGTATAGTATATGTGTAAGGTGTGCAGTGTATTTATTTGATATACTTCTATACTGCAAAGTTAGCTAACACCTCTCTCACTTCACATAATTACAATTTTTTGTAGTATGAACATTTAAGAGCTACTTATCAAATAAAATAAGTCTTAACTTGTAATTATAAAAGACCTACTTTCAAGTATAATAGAGTATTGTTAGTTACATCACTTTGCTGTACATTAGGTCCCTTTATTTAACTTGTAAGCAGAGATTGTATCCTTTGGCCACTGTCACCTCATTTACCCCAGTCCCAGAAAAGAGTAAACACCATTCTGTTTTCTATTTCTATGAGTTTGACTTTTAAATGGCATATATATCACAAAGCACATTTTTTCTTGTCTAACTTATTTCACTTAGCTTACTACTCTCAAATTTTATATAGTACAAATAATGCTTTCTTCATTTTTTGTAGATGAATAATAATCCACTGAATATCTATTATGAAATATTGTATTTATTAATATAATATTCATAAATCTATTCAGTGAATATATATCACATCTCTTTTCTCCCTCGGAGAGCCCGGCAAGCTACCGAGAGTATTCGATATGCCAGACACAGTAACAACAAAGTCTCCAATGGAGACGTTACTGGGCCCGCTCGAGCAAATCGACGATCAACGGGAGGGCCTCCTTTCTCCATTCATTCATTCATTGGTGGACAATTAGGTGTTTTTTCTCTTTTTCCTAAGAAAATATCTTTATAATATCATTTTACTTACAGGCCAAAGTACAATGGCTAAGACTCAGTTAGATTCCTGCCACCACATGGTCCTCCAAGCATTTCCAGGTACAGCCACAGAGGACACCAGTACTGCCAGGGTTAACATGAGTATCTGGGTACTGAAGGGCCTAAGTAACATCATATACCCTGCCCTTGCATAGAGCCACTTGCCAATGATGGCTGAGAATCATCTGGACTACCCAATCTCTGAGTGTATATAATGGATGTAATCATTTTAAAAAACGGGGGATGGGGAAATATGATTTCTTGTGTAATCATCATACTAGTATTCTTCTTATGGGGCATGGCTTATTTTTTCTGAATTCCACAGCATATATTGGACTCTGCGCCAGGCTGTTTTCACTCAGGGTGCCCTAGACGGGGACGGGTGAGAGCCCTCCCCGCCCCAAGGGACCCAACCCTGGCAGCCAACCTCCACTACCCAACTGCCACCATGCTCCAGGCCGCTTTCTGGACACATCATAAGACACTTCCTATTCATTTTCCATAATTACCACACCATGTTTGATGGAGTTCAGACAGTAGGCAACAAATCATAGAGAAATATATGTATGTCACGGTCACTGTCACTGTCCTCCTGTTGTTCATCGATTTGCTCAAGCGGGCCCAGTAACATCTCCATTGGAGACTTTGTTGTTACTGTGTTTGGCATATCGAATACATCACGGGTAGCTTGCCAGGCTCTGCCGTGCGGGCGAGATACTCTCGGTAGCTTGCCGGGCTCTCTGAGAGGGGCAGAGGAATCGAACTCGGGTCAGCCATGTTGGCTGCGTGCAAGGCAAAAGCCCTACCGCTGTGATATATATATATATATATATATATATATATATATATATATATATATACACACCTCTCGGAGAGCCCGGTAAGCTACTGAGGGCTTCTCGCCCACATGGGCACAGCCTGGCAAGCTCCCTGTGGCGTATTCAATATGCCAAAATCAATAACTATAACAGGCCTCATTTCCCTAACCCTGAAAGAGTCTCCAATAGTTGGGAATGACGAGTAAGGAGAGGCTGCTAAAATCTCAGGCCTGGGACAAATAGAGACATTACTGGCACTTGCTTGAGTAAATCGATGAACAACGGATGACAGTAAAACAGTGATATTATTTTCTGTTTCCTTATTACTTTGTTCTTACTTGTTTCTTGGTTTACTTATCTTTCCTAACCAAAATAATAGAATAAAATAAAAACCAAAAAGTCAAATCCAGGAGGATAAGTATCTCTAATAAAAATGTGAAATAAAATATGTGTTGTTCATCGATTGCCTTGAGCAGGTCCCAGTAACGTCTCCTTCGTCCTAGCCCTGAGACTTTTTAAAAGGTGCCACATTAAAGACTCTTTCAGGGTTAGGAGAATGAGACCCATCATTGTTACTGGTATTTGGCATATTGGGTACACCACGGGGAGTTTGCCAGACTCTGCCGTGTGGGCAGGTTACATTCAGTAGCTTGCCAGTTTGTCCAAAGTAAGAATGAGATAATAAGATGTTGTGCGGCCGCAAATGCTTCCAGGAACCGAGTTTTATAGTCTCTGGGTCTTGGCCATTGATGAGATTACACGGTGCCAGGGGGCCCGTTGGTGGGTGTGACCCCTGCCTACTGGAATATGGAGGATCTGGGTGGAGGATGCTCAGCCCCGATCCAAGCAGGCTTGGAGATCTCAGCCCCAAGACCCGCATGCCTTTGTTCCTCTGCCGGTACCTTCGTGCGTGTGGAGAGTGGTCTCAGCATGGTGGTGGCTGGTTCTGGAGGTCTTTGGCTGCCGGAGCCCTGGTCGGGGTGGGGAGGGAAACTCAACCCACTCCCCTGCAAGGGGCCCTGGCGAGGACAGCCAGGTGCGGGGGGCAGGAGACTCTGTGAGTTTGACCAATGTTACATTTGTAAATGTAAGCGAGTTTCACCAATGTTACATTTCTTTATTATTCATTCACTGAAATACAAATGAGGAAATCCAAAGGTTTTCCCAAATCCATTTCTTTTGACTGCCATTAAGAATATTTAATTTTTATTATATACTTATTCAGGATTCTGAGATGTGCAAACAGTACCGAGTAGTGCCTAGGATGGGTTACCTTTGCCCAAAGAATTTGCAACCTGTCTGTGGTGATGATGGTCAGACATACAACAATCCCTGCATGCTCTGTCATGAAAACCTGTAAGTATATAAGTCAAGCTGTTGTATCTCTCAGAGTAGATTTTGCTACAGTGTCAGTACACAGTAATGTGCTTATGTAAGTCTGAGGAATGTTGCAACTGATTTACTAATCATTGCAAATAAAAATCCAAATTTTGTGAATTATCTTGAGTACATGTAAAATAGAGCAGATTTAAGTTACTTATGTTGATAAATTTGGGTATACACTTTACTTATTTGCAGAAAAAGGAAAATGTGTGGGGCTGCAGTAATTAGAGAAAATCTCTACAAGCCCAGATGTACTTACATAATATGAATAAACGCCATTCATCCTTTATCAAGAATGAGAATCTTTCCATTCAGAGTCAGCTCTCCTATGATCTCTAATGGACCTTATCCCTACCTGGTAGTCACGAATTTCCCATTTTCTTTAACCTGTCTTCTTGGAGCTAAAAATAGTGGCATGCTAAGAATATACACAGGAAAAGTGGCATATCTGTCATCTTTGCTAAGATCATGACTGTCTGTATAATCACAGGCATATTGTCATCTTGAGACTTAAGTATTCATTGGAGAAGTGGAGTCAGTTTTCTTGCAACAGACTTCACAGGGTTATTGAGAGTAACATTTTTATTTTTAAAAATATGTGGGACTTTTTTTGGGGGGTAACACCCGGTGGTACTCGGGGGACCACATGGAATTCTGAGAATAGAACCCAGGTTGGCTTTGTGCTAGCAAATATCTTGCCGGCTATACCATCACTCCAGCCCCATATGTGGGACTTTTATTTAATACTTTTGCTAATTGGTTATATCTTTATTGTTTTTCTGCTCTAATTCTGTCCTGTCATTCTATATATACCCTTCACCTCTCTTCCTACTGTTTGTCCTGAATTCAATGACAATATGATGACAACCCTAGTCTTTCCATAACTTACACTGCAGTTACCAAATAATCTACAATTCTTGGAAAACACTCTTCACAGTCCAGAATATGACCGTGTGTCTTATATCCTGCTCTTAGGTACTAGAAAAAATATTAAATTTATGTTTGTTTTATTTTTAATCAAGTATCTGCAAAAGAAAAATCCCTCCACATTTTATAAGTGTAGAATAAAACTAATTCAAACCTGAGTGTTTTGTTTTGTAAGTCACTTTCCGAATCTCTCACTAAATCTATAATACTTCGTCACTGTCACTGTCACTGTCCTCCTCTTGTTCATCAATTTGCTCGAGCAGGCACCAGTAACATCTCACAACAAATTGTGAGACTTGTTGTTATGTTTTTGGCATATCGAATACATCACGGGGAGCTTGCCAGGCTTTGCCGTGCAGGTGAGATACTCTCAGTAGCTTGCTGGGCTCTCCGAGAGGGATGGAGGAATTGAACCCGGGTCAGCCGTGTGCAAGGCAAATGCCTTACCCATTGTGCTATTGCTCCAGCCTTCATATGTAATAGTATTATCAACACTACACACAAGGTCAATCTGAGATTCAGAAAGTCTGGGGAAAATATTTAAAGTCAGAAAATTAAGAAGGTCAACACGATTTAAACTTATGATTTAGTTCCCAAACCTTGTTTTTTTCTTTTCTCACCATGACACTTTATTATTCAATCCAATGCAGTACTCCCTTACACTGTGGGGAATCAAAGGTTTCTTTCAGAGTCTGGTGAGCTAGCATGGATAAAAGGGTGCTTACTTTGAACATGGCTGACCTGGGTTCAATCCTTTGTACTTATATGATCTCCTCAGCGCTATCAGGAATGATCCTTGAGTGCACAGCCAGGAGTAAGCCCAAAATACCACTGGGCATGGCCTCCCAAAAAACAAACAAAAAGATTTATTTCAGTATACAGAGAAATAAATCTATACCCATAAAAGGAAATAAAATATTGGGGCATTAAAAATTCATCTGCATAATATTTAGGGACATATAAAACTCTTGGTATCTTATCCATGGTTTTTACATATCCTTGAGTTAAGACATTCCCTTTTAAAATATGAGTGCAATCATTCATTGATTTACTAATATATGTAAATTATTATTGATCCCAGAAGTCTCTCAATTCCTCTTTACTGTAAGTGGAAAATTGAAATTATTTGCCATATGTCCTTCAAGCTTTCCATTAACTCTATAACCCTATAACAAATGATCCTCTATTCAATGAAACCTTTTCAGGCAGAAATTCAGATTATTAAAATATTAATACAACATTATTCAGATGAATTGTTCAAGCTAGAGAAACTGGAAATCAATATTACAAAGGAAAGATTCAGGTTATCCTGGACAAGAAGGAGCAATATTAGTTTCTGTGTTCTTAGAGGAAGCAATAGGAAAAGAGTTTCAACTTGAGAAACGTTAAGAAAATAATTAATTGCTTTAATAGTACACTTTCCAGTAGCAGCTACAAATAATAGACTTTTTTTTTCTTTTGGGTCACACCTGAAGATGCTCAGGGCTTACTCCTGGCTCTGTACTCAGGAATTACTCTTGGCAGTTTTCAGGGGACCATATGGGATGCTGGGAACCGAACCAGGATTGGCCACATACAAGGCAACCGCCCTACCCACTGTGCTATCACTCCAGCCACCTTAAATATTTGAACCTTTGTTTTTTGTTTTTTTCTCTTTGGGTCACACTCGGTGATGCTCAGGGATGACTCCTGGCTCTGCACTCAAGAATTACTCCAGGCATTGCTCAGGGGACACTGTGGGATGCCAGGGATTGAACCCTGTTCAGCTGCATGCAAGTCAAATGCCCTCCCCACTGTGCTATGTCTCCCGCCCGACATTTTATGTGAAATATTTATTAATAGAGAAACATTAAAATTAACATTGCTAAAGATTATTTTTGGAATCTTTCTATAAAATTCAGACTGTAAGTCTTTGTCTTATATAAAAGTTACTTATGTAAATTTATATATGTACTATAGATTTGTTTAGATATTTATTCTAATATATACAGAAAATGGTCCAGAGATATAGTAGAGGGTTAAGACATTTGTGTTGCACACAGATGAGTTTGGTGTGAATCCCGGAACCACATGTAGTCCATAGAGTAACAGAATACAGGGCCAGGAGTTATTTCTGAACTGAGCTGTGTATGATGCCTCCCAAAGTAAAATATAGATAAATTTTCTATAAATATAATACATTTCTATACATATCTATATTTTATATTTTGTAACCCCAAGTAACATTATTACTTAATCATATCAAATTTCTACATCTTAATTTTCCCATCTACAAAATAGTGACTTTTAATTAAATGTTTTCCCAATTTATTTCTAATGTGCAGCCTTCTGCCTTATGATTTATTTCATTTAGTATGAACCCCCTCTAACTCAACCTCTGTTGTCACAAAAGGCAAGATTTTACTTTTCTTATAGCTGACTAGTATTCCAGTACATACGCAATAATTATATAAATGTATGTTAAATATATAGCACATTTTCTTTATCTATCACCTGCCATTGATCACTTGGGTTTCCAATTAACATTAAACAATTTTATGAAGTGTATAGGTGCATGAAATGTGACAGACTAAATCCAGAGTTGGGAAGCAAGCCTGGAACTAGATCAGAGACCTGAACATGGGTAATGCCTAGTGGAAAGGAGCAGAAAGTGAGTCCCAAGTCCTACCCCTAATTTCAGTTCCAATTTGATGCCAAAATGTACCCCCACATTATCCTGGCATTTTCTTTCTTTTTGGTTTAGGCCACACTCTAGCAGTGCTCAGGGCTTACATCTGGCTCTGGCTCACGACTCAGGAGTCCATGAAGGGTGCTGAGAGATCAAATTCTGGTTGGTCATACCCTACCCATTGTACTATCTCTCCAGATTGATACTGTTTTAGCTTATACACTATTTTTTATCATACCTGTAAATTTTCCCATCTTTGAAACTTCCCTGTTCTGTTTTAGGATACGCCAAACAAATACACATATACTCAGTGAAGGGCCATGCAAGGACACCAGAATCCCAGGAATGACACCACTCAGCAGATCAGCATCAGTAAGTACCCTGACCTTCAGTTAAAATCTTAGAAGCCATAGCTTCTGCTTTTGTTTTCTTGTAGAGGGTGGAAGACTGTCTCTGGCCAGAAAAGTGATGCCAAGGCAAGTGACCCCATATTTCATCACATAGTAATTGTGAAGATGTATTGCTTACAGCAATACAGAGGAGTATTAGAGTGTTAGCACTGTAGCACTGCTGTCTCATTGTTCATTGATTTGCTCGACCGGGCACCAGTAATTTCTCCATTCATCCCTGTCATGTGCTAGTGTAGCTCAGTGGCATCTGCTCACTCCAGGAACACCAAGTGAGACTTGTTGTTACTGTTTTGGGCATATTGAATACACCACAGGGAACTTGACAGGCTCTGCCATGCAGTCGGGATACTCTTGGTAGCTTGCCAGGCTCTCTGAGAGGGATGGAGGAATCGAACCGGGTCTGCCTCATGCCAGGCAAATGCCCTACCCGCTGTGCTATCTAAAAGTTAGACAATGGTAATACTTTTAATGCTTGACCCACACAGGGGTCCATAAAAAACAATATCTCCTGATCTAGCATTTTTCAGCATGAGTTTTACTTTCTTTTATGTGTAATTTAAAAAGTAAGACAGAGAGACCCGGGTGACAGATTGAGATTTGTTTACTCATTCAATTTTATACTACTGTGTTTATGGAGACACTGTGATTTATAATATGTGAGTTTCCAGAGAAAAGGTGCAGTGGGGCATATGGGATGCAAGCGTATGGTGGCAGAGGTCTGCTTCCCCAGGCCGGTCCATGGTGACAGACAGACGAACGAGGGGGGAATGGAGAAACTGGACCTGAGACTGATCAGTAGTGAGGGTAGTCAGTTTATGTCTCTCTTTTCCATGACATAGTCTGATCTCTCCCCTTATGACATGATCATAGACATAAGTTTTGTTGTAGTTCCAGTCATCATAGTTCCATCATCCTAGTCTCCTCATAAAACTCAAAAACCTCTTCCTCATCTAGTCATAGTCTCATAGTCTTTTGCATTCAGTCATTGTGGTCATCCAGTCCTCCTTCTTGTCTTCACACTCCCAAAATCTTCAAAGTCCCAAAGTCTCAGTTCTCATCCTCCTTCTAGTCATCAATTTTCTAGTTCTCACAGACCCTCTAGTCCTCAATATCTTCAAAGTCACAAAGTTCCTGTTCTCCTCCTCTAGTCTTCAATGTCTAGTCCGGATTTTCTAGTCCCCTCTTACGCCTTACAGCATAGTTATATAGAAATCATGAAAGGTGCAGATACACAAAGGTGGGGTTGAACATTATCATAACAACAAACAGATGTAAAACCACTCCTTCAGGAGATTAACTCAAGGACAAAACCTCTTTGGGGTTCAGCACTCCAAATTTTAGGAGATCTGCTCAAGGATGGGATTCCATTCAGGATATATTGCTTTCTCGTTTCCTCAGCTAGTAATCCATTTAAACAATCATAGTAAATTGACTTCTTATAATATTTCTAGTCATTTTGTATGAACATCATTGTCATTGTCACTATCCTCCCATTGTTCATCGATTTGCTTGAGTAGGCCCAGTAACATTGTGAGACTTGTTACTGTGTTTGGCACATCGAATACGTCATAGGTAGCTTGCCAAGTTTTGCTCTGCAGGCAAGATACTCTTGGTAGCTTGTCAGGCTCTGAACTTGGGTCGGCCATGTCGACGGAGGAATTGAACTCAGGTCAGCCATGTTGGCCACATTCAAAGCAAACGCCCTACCTGCTGTGCTATTGCTCCAGCCCTTGTATGAACATCACTGTCACTGTCACTGTCCTCCCGTTGTTCATTGATTTGCTCGAGCGAGCCCAGTAATGTCTCCATTGGAGACTTTGTTGTTACTGTATTTGGCATATCGAATACGGCTAGCTTGCCAGGCTCTGCCGTACGGGCAAGATACTCTCGGTAGCTTGCCGGGCTCTCCAAGAGGGGCGGAGGAATCGAACTTCGGTCGGCCATGTTGGCCGCGCGCAAGGCAAATGCCCTACCTGCTGTGCTATCGCTCTAGCCCAATATGAACATAATAAGAAATATATATTAAGCTTAAAGGTTGGCTCTTCCTGGGTTCATATGGCTAGACCACAGTCCTCAGGCCAGGTTAGTCTTTCCTAACTCCATCAGGGTTCTTATTCTGTTACTTATTTTTAGGTCATGGCTGGAGCAATAGCACAGCAGGTAGGGAGGTTGCCTTGCATACGGCTGACCCAGACGACCCGAGTTCCTGTGTTCAATTCCTCTGCCCCTCTCAGAGAGCCTGGCAAGCTACCAAGAGTATCTCCCCCACACGGCAAAGCCTGGCAAGCTCCCTGTGGTATATTTGATATGCCAAACACAGTGTTACTGGGCCCACTTGAGCAAATCAATGAACAACGGGAGGACAGTGACAGTGACAGTGACAGGTCATGACAGAGTTTGTCCATTACCATGCTCTTAACTTATACTTAAGTATTATGGCACTTGGCCTGGCCCATTTTGATGCCAGGGTAGCTCACAACTTGCCCTGGGTCCATGCAGTCCCTCATCAGGACCCTGCTCTTAGAGTGCTAGGAACTAAGGGCAACTGAAGCTTAAGTCAAGTAAATATGGATGTCCAGGAGTGAATATTATTTTGGAATCAATTAACTCCCATGTTACAAAGCATAGTATGAACTGTCTTCCTGTGTCTATACAAAAAGGATATTGCTGAATAAGCCATGCAAATGACATAAAGGAAAGAGAAAGGCAATATAGGATTATTAGTGCTTGATGGAACTGGATGTGCCTCAGTTGCACTGTTGTGGGAGTGGCTCAATAAACCTCAAACTCCCTTCTGGAGGTCAAGGACAACCCAATGTTATCCAACAATAATACAGCTAATGATAGCTCCATGCGTGTAATATTTTACAACCACACCCTCCACCAGTGTGGCAGCTTCTCTCTACCAAGGTCCCAAGTTCTTATCCCTTCTACCTTCCACTTGTCACATTGGTAAACTCAGTTGTGTGAACTAATTCTCAAAAGTAGATTTAAATAAATTCTGAATAACCTTTGCACCCTTGCACTTTACCTTTGCTCAAAACTGTCTCCCAACATGGAAAGTTGACCTTTTCACTTAATTCCTTACCAGGAAGTTTAGACATGCACTATTGAGTTTGACATTCTTCCTACTGATCATATGTGATATTTTCTTCTTCAAGCAAGATGACATATAACTTGAAAGAAAACCTAGGAATTTTTTAATGAGCAAAGCACTTTTTGTTAACAGACAAATAATGATTCAAAGTCTGGCATTGGTTATTGTTCATGTAGGAAACTTTTGTCAGCCATTAAACTGAACCAAAGAACTCACCAAATCATTTAAATTAAATGGGAAAAAATAATAGGTTAAGAATTCTTGAATCACTCTTTCACTTGCGCTCAAAGAAGTGCTTATTATGTAACTTTTCAAATGTCAGTAGTGGAACGATGTGTCCTTTTTACTTGAAAAGGATACAGGGAACACTATTATATTTCTCTAGGACATATACAAAGTTATCTTCCTGTAAGAAAAAACTTCTTTAAAATAAATGTCCATACTTAATTTTGTTTCATTTTTAGATATTTCTACAATAGCAACTACTACTATGTGTGGAACGTTTTAGAGCTGACATGCTTTTTCTTTGGCATCCACACAATGCCCCGACTAAGAGCAGTGATCATTATGTTACCAGCACACAGAAAATCAGCTTCACACACACACACACACACACACACACACACACACACACACACACACACAAACCTGTCAATTATCAGTTGTTATTATTAAGTACATAGTCTGGTTTTACTTTTTATGCTCTTCCACAATTGTCTGGGGATTCTGAAATTCTGAGGCTATAGATATGCACTATAGCAATTAAATAGATGTAGTGAGAGGAATACAAGCAGTATCTGTTCTCAATGACATGATAAAGATTTTCAACCATTCAAGAGAAAATCATTGCTTGAGACTTTCTAACCATGTGTGAGAACTAATGTGAAAGACTGAATTTGGAACTCAGAAGAGCTACTCTTGTAGAGGGGGTATGAGTTGACTAGTTTTGTAGAAGAAAACTTTCTGAGGATTTTACCCCTTTACAATTTTTTTGTGACACATTGATTTACTGTTTTGAATGTTTATTTCAATAGTAAACTAATGCACAGATGACTAAAGCAAGGAAGACATAGTCTAAAACTGCAATCATGGTCGAAAAGTGTAATAGTGTAGAATTTATGTTAGTGAAACCAGCTTTAAATCCTAAGTGAAACTGAGACTTTGCTAGTTACTAAACATTTCTGTAACTTGCTTTCCTTCTTTGTGAAATATTGATGACACTTCTGTTTTTTTTTATTACCAGGAGGGTGACATGTAACTCAAATGATCAAACTTCATTTTTATATTATCTCAATAAACAGGATTTAGAGATTTTAGCCAATTCAGTGATATGGGTATTTTTTTACTCATATACCACATGCATTTCAAGTGCTCAATAGCTACACATGGCTAGAATGAGTAAGAGAGTCAATGAACCTATGTAAAAGATGTGTAAAAACATATGTAAAAGCATATTTCAATTGCATCAATTGACTAAAAGATAAAGGTGATTTCAAGTTGTGAGTACTCAGAATGTTTAAATATATATATATATATATATATATATTTTTTTTACTATAATACAGGTGTTTTTGGCTTTTCTAATATCTAAACTACTCATCTTCTCTTGCAGGAAAAATGATGTGAAAATTGGTAAAAAGTCATGAGAAAAAATGTGTTCCCCTAATAATGAATCATCTGCCCCTCACCATCTGAACATAGAATGCTTGGACGCTCATCTTATTTACTATATAAAATAATTACAGAGCTATTGGGGGACAGACTCGCTGACTTTCAGTCCTTTCCATCTCTTCCTCCTAAATTCTGTGATATAAGGATACAGAGACATCTAAAGTCAGTCTATGCTCTGAAAGCCTCCTGATCGCAATACTGTCTGTTCAACTGCTTATTCAATAAAAGTACACCCAGCAGAATATCATTTCTGGGATTTCTTTGACACTCTGAAGAATAAGCATTTGATTTTTGTTTGTTTGTTTGTTTGTTTGTTTGTTTTTTACGGAAACTGAATAAACTCTATCCTTTTATCTGGCTAAGCACACTCATGGCCAATGAATGTTCACTTTTTTTTTTCCTGATTCAAGTTGCTGTCACAATGATCAATGAATTTCTGGAAGATATAGAAATTCACATGGGCTTTCAGGACCCATCAATTGTGTAAAACTGATGTATGAACTAAACCTTACCTTTTCTATTAGTCCCCTTACTAGAGAACCTACTTTCTTTCTTATCTTCCATATTTACATGAATAAAATAAAATTACTTACTCTCAATTTTCTATGCTCCATCAAGTGATATAAATGTAATTTCTCATACTGTCATGACAAGTGCTTTTATCAATGCCTTATACCGAGTCTGGGGAGAACCCAAGCAAAGAAATGTAATTTACCAACATAGGCAAATAAGAGAATCACTGTGCAAGAGAAACATAATACAAGTCACAAAATCAATTTCTAACCTCTACAAAAGGGAGAGGTGAAATCTATTTGAGTAACATTTTTATTTGACCTTATGTATAAAAACTATTATCATTTTAAAACATTCAACATGATTTTTTTGCCCACTCTTTGATATTTGTGTGTGTCACCCATCCAGCAGAGTTATTTCAAGTGCTCAATAGCTACATGTGGCTAGAAACTACTAAATGGGTCAGTGAGTTAGCTGACATGGGAAATATTCCAAAGAATATAAGAATAGTGGTGATAAAAATGAGAAAGAACAATTTGCTGAAACTGCTTTCAAAATTGGTATCGTATGGCAGTTCTCTTCCAGATCCTGCCTTAATTCCAGACAAAGCATGGAAAATCCATCGTGGCTAAAGATGTTTTTAGATACAAGACATTTTCTTAAAATTAGATAGAGGAGATCAATTTTGTATTTTTTCTCTATCTTTTAACTAAGTTGCTAATAAAATTTTTTATTCTTGATAACTAAGCAAAATAAGTTTGAATGGTATTTCTTTCCATATTATGATGAAAAAATAAAGGATTGTCAATTATTGTTCAAAAAAGAAAACAGAGGCATTTCAGAAAAGAAGTCAGAAAACAGTGTGGCTTTTATTTTCTGCATTTTTAGGATATGCAGGATAGGTTTATACATTGTATGATCTATAAGATTGTATCTTCTTGGTTATTTCTAAGAAATTATATTTTTGGAGTCACATCCAGTGGTGCTAAGGGGCTATTCCTGGTTCTATACTCAGGAGAGAATCCTGACAATTTTCAGGTTTTCATAAGCCAGAAATTGAACTGAGGTAGACCATGTGCAAGGAAAGAATCATAACCTCTGTAACATCTCTCCCCCAAATTATTTTTATGACCACAGCCTTATCATTTGAGAAGGAACTTGTTACTGGATTTTTTTAAAATATGAAAAACAGGACTAGATAATATGGAGTTAAGGTGCTTGCCTTGAATCCCACTAACCCTGGGTTGAATCCCCAGTATGATATCCCAAGCACTGTTAGGATCACTATTGAGCAATAGAGCCAAGGATAGCTCCTGAGCACTGCTAGTTGTGGCACCCATGCCAAAAAATTATTTAAAATATTTAAAAGAAAATTCTTATACTTTTTTCATCATTATGATGATGATGGATGGTGGTGGTGATTGTTATATAACATACCCCAAAATAATTCTGAACGGGTTAGAAGTGTGACTTAGGAATAAGATGGAATGGAAGATAGGCTAATGTGGAATGTCTTTAGATGGGGATAAAGAGAGTTACCGACTCAGTGACTCAGTGAAGGACAAGGGTAAATTAGTAATGGGTTACACAGAGGTAAAAAAGAAAATGGAGGCTCAGGGAATAGTATTAAGCTGAACACAAAAATCTCAAAACAAACTTAAATTTAGTAAATTTTAATAAATATAAATTTGTCTGGAGACTTTTTTTTAAAAAAGTCTTTTTTTTACTTGACTTTTTAAAAATAACAATGTTAATTTATTTGTATACATAAACAATAGATACAGCAGATAGGGAGCTTGACTTACATATGACTGACTTTGATTTGATCCCTGTCACTCCATACAGTCCCCTGAACCCCACCAATAATGAACCCTGAGCATAGAGTCAAGAGTTAGTCCTGAGTACTATTAGGTGTGTCCCCAAAATAATAAATAAAAATAATTAAAAAATGTTTAGGTCAAAATGGTTAGGATAGATACATAAAATATCAAATTAACAACTTTTAACTTGCTTCTTGAGTTATATCCTAATGAGTCAGTGACAAATATAAAACCCAGAATCATACAACTGAGGCGTCACAAACTTTCCCTAAAATTCTGAACCAAGAAATGATAACTTGTTCTGGTATTTATTCTGATATAGAGAAAAAAAGAAATAAAATTATTCTAACTATTGGTCATCCTGATCACCAATTAGTACAAATTTATAATTGTATAATTGATATTATAGATTCCATTTTTTAAAGAATATGGGTTTCTGCAAATCTACTACAGATCTATCCCTCATTTTTTCATACGAGGAGCCCACCTGAAGTCTTCCTATCTCTTTCAAGTTTACAGAAACAGATTGATCACCTTGCTAGATTATGGGCTAGCAGAATTTTTCTTTAAAGAGTTAGAGAGAAAATAGTTTACACTTAGAAAGACATTTAGTCTCTGATATAACCACACAATGCTGCTTTAGCATGAATAAATGAATTTACATTGTGTAGATTCTACTGGCTGTGCTCAAGTAGAATTATATTCACAAAAGAGAGTGCCAGACTGGTTTTGATCCATGGGCTATGTCTCAGGAATAAGCATCTCCTTGCCTTCCTTTTTGCTCTCTTCTATACTCCTAAAAACCAAACTACTCATTAGGTGATAATGACCTAGAAAATTATAAATCTTGATATTTCTAAACATTTTAATACATAATTTGAATTAAGAAAAACACCTGACAAACACACACTTGTTTCTCAATCTAATATGTTTTTGTTGCCTCCTCATTTGAATTTGGCCAAGACCAATCATATATTACAGATATATTACAGTTAGGTTATGATAAATAAAGTGACTGTGTTCTTAAATAACACTGCCTAGAGCCTTTACAAATGATGAGTGATCTGTTTTCCTTTACGTGAAGGTGTACTAGAACATCCTGTTCTTTCCCTGAAAGATGTCCAGGTTTTTCTGAAAGGTATCCAGGTATGCTGATACCTTTTCATTCCTATCATTAAAATTGAAGTTCTACTTAAGCAATATGAGATTGTAAATCATTCTTCAGGCATGAAGAAAGAACAGAGAGAAAGACTGTCAATTAAAGACACGTTAGTGGAACACCAAATATTTGTCTTCCTTGATGGAATTTTTATTTAGCCATGTAATATATATTATTTTGAGAAATGACTTGTTCTCTGGCAGGACATTCTATGTTCCATCCCTATCTGTTATGGCACATGTTAATATTACTCATGCCAGTGTGTTTTAACTTTTGTTCTTTTATTCCTGATCCTCTTATATTTAATTCTTGATTCTTTTTGTTGTTGTTGTTGTTGTTGTTGGTTTGCTTCTTTTGGTTCTTTTTATTGTTTTTTTTCGTTTTGCTTTTTTGGCTCACACCCGGCGATGCACAGGAATTACTCCTGGCTCATGCACTCAGAAATTACTCCCAACAGTGCTCAGGGGACCATATCGGATGCTGGGAATCGAACCTGGGTCAGCTGAGTGCAAGGCAAAAGCCCTATCTGCTGTGCTATCGCTCCAGCCCCTAATTCTTGATCCTTTTCTTTAGTGTTGCTCAATAGATTTCTAATGAACTTGACTGCCTTCCTCTTTTACAACCTTCTGATTTCCAAATACCCTCTTTTAAATATTGGTATATTTAATTTTCTATTAAAAAACTCCTGCTAATCAGCCATATCACATTTGAGCAAAGTAAAACTAGATAAGCCTGAAATCTAGATATCATCTTGACCTTCCTCTTTAATCCTTCAGAGTTAAAAATTCTTTGGTTTAAGCCATCTACATTCTTTCATAACTGGTTACAACAGCCATTTTCCAGTTTCAGTCTTGTCTCTCCAATTGCATTCACTGTAGGCAGAGTAATGAGCTGAAGTCCAAATTTGATGGCACTATGTCGAAACCTTTTAAGTGGTTTCCTCTATTTCCCAAGATAAACTGCTAACTCTAACATTCTATTTATCCCTTAAACCACAACTTTTGCTTTGTCCTCTTTTCTCCTACCATGAATAATTTCCTTCCTTTCTCTATTTTTTCTCTTCCTGTTCTTTCTTCCCTTCTCTTTTTCTTTCTTTCCTTCTCTTTTCCTTCCTTCCATTCTTTCTTCTTTCTTTCCTTCATTATCTGATCCCCTTCCCCTTCTTACCTTCCTTCCTTCCTCCCTCCCTTCCTTATTCCCTCCCTCCCACCCTCCCTCCTTCCCTCCCTCTCTCCCTCCCTCCCTCCCTCCCTTCTATCCTTCCTTCCTTCCTTCCTTCCTTCCTTCCTTCCTTCCTTCCTTCCTTCCTTCCTTCCTTCCTTCCTCTCTCTCTCTCTCTCTCTCTCTTTCTTTCTTTCTTTCTTTCTTTCTTTCTTTCTTTCTTTCTTTCTTTCTTCATCCGCAGTGCTCACCTCTCACTTAAGGATCTACCTTCAGGGATCACTCCTGGAGGCTCATGGGTATCATCTGGGGTGCCAAGAAAATAAACAGATTGGCTACATGCAAGGAAAGTGCTGTACCCACTGTACTATCTCCCACTTGAATCATTTTTTTGAACTTGCTCCTTCATGTTTTTTTATTCTAATATACTGTCTCTATCTACTCTACAATTATCTTTCTTCTCCTTTCATTTCTATAAAGTCTACCCCTGTTTGTTTTTACATCACTATACTAATTTGTTATGTCAATAAAGGCAACGCTTATTTTCAGAAATCATCCATGACCTCTTTATCTCAGAATGGAAATTTTATATATTTTATGCTCCCATATCATCTTGTTTGTATACCTGTGTTACCTTATGTCACTATATTATAATTGGTTATTTACAAATCTATTTCTTTCACTAGTCTATAACTGCCGAAGAGATAAAAAGTTATGTTTTTATTTATATTTCCAATATCTAGTACAATGTTTTGTATGAAGCATTTGCTCATTAAAAGATATTGCCTAGGGGATCAGAACTATAGTGCAACAGGTAGGGCATTTGTCTTGTAA